GGCGGCGGCGGCGCGACCGCGCAGCGGGTGGGGACGGGGGCGGGGCCGCGGGTCTGGAGCCCTTGAGCTGCCAGGCCTAAGCGCCTGGCAGATGGCGGGTACCCGGATTCCGGAATCCTCACCTTTTCTGATCGTTTTCGTCCTGGCCTAGGATCCACCTTCGGTGTTCTTTTTTGCACACGGGTTCTTTAGTTACCTCTATTTTAGTAGGCGCTGTTGTAGGCCAGACCAATGCTGTGAAAGTGATGTCTTGAGACAGTAATTCCTCAAGGAGCTTACCCTCTCGGTTTCAAGATAACAAGGATAGAGGGCAAGAATTGAGGAGGAGTTACTGATTCTGCATAAGGGATAATCCGGTTGACTTCAAGATGGTGCTGTCATGAGGCATTGGCCACATGTAGTATCCGAGGTCTTAGATTGTGGCAAGTCTGAACGTGCACACCAGATTTAGAGGATGTAATTAAATGTAAAATAGCTTATGAGCGATGTTTGGATATATTCATTTTACTTATATTTAATGTGGCTACAGTTTTGAGTTGTGAATGTGGCTTCCATGATACCTACTTCTATTAGACAGTGCTGCCTGTTGTGGGGCGAGATTGTCAAAGATTGGAGTCATGCAAATTGAGAATTTAATGGCCTTTATTCCTGGCCAGGGACTGACACCCACACTGCAGTCAGAGGTAGCAGCCCTGTCCTGCCTTCCACAGGGTATTTAAGCACAAGCTTGCAAAGGGGATTTCTTATCTTTTGGGAAGAGGTCCAAGGGACTTTACAGCAAGGGAGGTTTCAGGGTCCGGGTGATAGATGTGATATCCGCAGGTGGGGCTTTTCCCAGGGAGGAAAAGCTTCAAGGACTTCTGGGGCAACAGCTGCAGGGGGTGTGAAACCAGAGGGTACACAGGGGCATAGTTGCTGGCAAGGTATGCAAGCCTGTTTACGGAAGCAGAATGGCTGTTAATCTCTTAGCTGAACAGACTCCATCATATTGTGACCTTTTCCCATGTAGCCCGCTACGCTGCCTTGAAGCATTAAGATGGATTTGACTGGAAAAGTTGAGAGGGACCTACAACACAAAATAAACACATTGCTGCTAGAAAATGTTTATAACCTACAAATACACTCACATTCATTATTTAATGATCATGATTCTATAAAATTTTATTGCATATAAAATTCTTCAGATAAAAAGTGATTTATGGTCATATGTGGCAATCATTCCTTTGACCCATATTTATTTTCTGCTATGTGTCACACACTAACTAAACACTGGACATCAAAGATAGGATTCAGTCTGTGGAAGCACATGTCAACACATATTTGCAATAAAATGTAATATACTAAGACAGGGATGTTTTCTGCATGTGGAGTGAAGAGAAGTGACCTGTATGGGAGGGAAGTCAGAGAAGGCCTCACAGACATTTTGAGGTAGAGAAGAACAGGGAGGGTTCTATTAGGTCATCAGGAAAGTCATAATGTATTTGTGTCTATGTTTTCCTATGCAAAAATGCATCATGACTTTCCCAACAACCCAACATAATGAGCAACATGAGGCACGGTGGTAGGGCATTTCTGTACAACTCTAAATCCATATAGGAAGATCCAGGTTTGGATCCCAGTGAGACAGAGACTGGCTAGACAGGGTTTAGGGGAGCCATAATGGAATGCTGACAAAAAGGAGTTTATTTAAAACCAGCCAGCTGATTCCAACTCTGAAAACTTACATCCTCCTCTTCCCAAAACCTTACTCTTCCAAGTTAAATCATTACAGACCTCCCTACAGGACACACAAAACAACAATTAGAGTCAAAGTTCAGAGCCTATTAATTTGTTAATTCCAGAATCTAAGACAGAAAACTCCTGTGGGCCCAATGGAAACTATGATATAAGCCTAATATACACAGCCCAAAATACATAGAGAATAATACCAGAGAAAATTACAGGTATTAGGAGACCAAAATTATACTCATATCACAGTCTAAAATAACATAAAATCTTTGTGACTATTAATCAATAATTCCTTGAAAAAGAAGCCTTATAGGGGACCAGCAGTTGGCGTAATGGCTATGTTGCTGGGCTCGCAAATAGTCGACCGAGGTTTGAGTCTTGGACCCAGTGGCTTAAACTCACACCAGGTGCATGTACATGTGTGCCCAAGATCCTGAGAGGAGAATGGAGGAGCATGGCCATACTCCTGGGGAGTGATTTGCTTTCTGTCTCTCTGTCTCTCTCTCTCTCTTTCTGGTGAGCACATGTGCCCTATAGCAAAAACCTTCCCCCCTCCCCCCAAAAAAGCCTTATAAAGCTTAGTGTTTTTGCCATATGGAGGGCTGCTCATTAGAGAGCTCTCCTTTAAACCTTTAAGATAGAGACACAATAACTCAGCAGCAGCTCAGCTCTCACTGAGTTATGTGCTCACAAAAACAAGCTTATAGCAATAACTCAATGATTAACCTACGCAGCATGACCTAAAGGCTTTTTCCTGGTTTCACCACATTCTAAGAAGGTAGTGGTCTTTTATGGCCCAAAGCTTTTAGACAGAGAGTCTCCTGACCTTCATACCCACTCCAGAATTAGGAAAAATAACCAGATCCAACTTGCATGCGACCCTCCACTGTAAGAGGGATATATGCACAAGCCTCTGCTCAGAACAAGCCTGAACAAAGCCCCCCAACCCAAATAAAACCCCTTGTTTCTGTTCCTCTTTGGCAACCCATTTTCTGGGACCCCTCTTGGCCTGTCTGGAAGCTGTTCTTTCCTTCAGTAAATTGCTTTACCATCCCTTTTCTGTGTCTGTGTTTCTAATTCTTTGTGAACATGAGTCTTAGAATCAGATTCACTGCTGTTCCTGCATTGGGTATTGTGTCCCGACCTGGGGGACAGTCGAACAGGTTTCCTGAGGGAAGGAGTGAGAGGTGGGACAGCAGGACAGCGCAGTGTTACAACTCTTCAGGGTCATCTGTTTATTGTGGGGAGCACAGAGACGACACAGTGTTCCAACTCTTCAGAGTTGTCTGGAGACGACGCAGTGTTACAACTCTTCAGGGTCGTCCGGCGATTGTGGGCCAGGAACTGTGGTTATATACACGTTGGTGGGCGGTAATTGGTTGTTCTATATGTAAATGAAGGATTGTAAAAAGTGGGTTATGATTGGTTGATTTTGTGGACCAATCATGAGGTGCCAGATATGCAAATCTGAGGGATTCTAAGCTCACTAATTTAATATGGAAAGTGGCCAATCAGAGTATGGTTTTGAAGGTGAGGTTTTGAAGGGAAGCCAATCATGGCCTTTGTCATTGTGTAATTGTTTGCTCTCTGAGAAACCAGCCATATTCGCTGGTGCACAGCCTCCCACAGGTATTGGACCCATGCACCCCAACTTCCTGTGCCATCAAGTTGACCTGATCTCCCTGGGAGTGTTCGTGATCCTAGCTGACCAGAAGGCTGTTGTGAGAGGAGGCACAACTTAGTAAGACCTTGTCGAGAGTACCTGTCTGTTTTTCTCATGAAAGAAAAGAAGACATTTTAAAAGACTTAAAAGAGGAGAATGTAGTGAACATACAGATGGGAAAGGGTATAGAGCATATTTCAAGAGTAGATCATAGGGTATGTGGGGGAAGCAGCAGAAACAGAATTTGTATCCCAGACTCTGGTTCAGGGGGTCTTTTCACTTGTATTCCCACTGGTGATAATTACAAGGTATATTAATTGGGATAGGCTAACAGTACCAGTATCTCAGTAACTTAACTCTATAAAGGCTTTTTTTTGGGGGGGGGGAGAGGTGTTTGCTATAGGACACGTGAGCTCGCCAGAAACACAGAGAGAGAGAGATAGAAAGCAAGAGATCATCCCCCAGAGGGGGTGGCCATGCCACAATCCCTTCTCCTCCATTCTCCTCTCGGGATCTTGGACATGCATGCACACGCACCTGGCCTGAGTTTAAGCCACCGGGTCCGGGACTCAAACCCCGTTCAACTACATAGGAGTTCAGCGACATAGCCATTACACTAACTGCTGGTCCCTAAAGGCTTATTTTTCATGTGCATTATAGTGTGTAATAAGTTGGTTGGAGTCTGTGGGTAGGCTTTCTGCTCCTGTATTCATGAAAGGACCAGGCTCCTTCTTTTTGGTGGAGCTACCATCTCCTGTGATTTTAGAAAAGCCTAATCAATGGGCCTCAGTAACGGGAAAAGAGCTGTGGTCGACTTGTTGGCAATAGTAGAGGAGAGACGTGAAAACACTCTTTGGTGAAAACTGAAAGATTAGAGGATATAGAAGCAGGGAAAATGGTTGGGAATATTGGAGACAGTGTGGGAGGAGACGGGAGAGGATAAGAGGAAGGGAAACAAGAAAAAATAGAGAGGCAAGACATTTAAGGTACACAGAAATAGAATATTGTCTTTTGATGATAACTTGTATGATACCTTAAACTGGACTAATGTGCAGTGTATTTATGCTGGGAAAATTTATTTTACAAGCTGTGGTGATGTACAGTGATTAAATGTATAAAATAAATTTGAAAATAATGAAAAAGAAGAGAGAAAGAGAAAAAAAGAGACTAGCCCTATGGCTTAGTGATTAAGGAATCCCACGTAACTGACTGCATGGTTTGAATCTCAGCACCAAAGGCTTGAAAAACTCTCCATGTACCTGTGTGCTCAATATCCCAACGGAATGGAAAAATGGAAAAGAAGGTACCATGCCCCATGGGGGGGGGTGTTTCCTCCTTCTCCCTCTATCTGGCAAATAAGAAAGAATAAAAGAAATGTTAAAGTTCTTTAGGCAGGAAGAAAATTGTACTAGATGCAAAGCTGGATCTACTCAAATAAATAGCTAGCATCACAAATGGTAAACACATGGATAAATATAAACATTTTAATTTTTAATTATCTTATTATTAATAATAATTGATAATTGACTTTTAAAAGCCAAAATATGAATATCTGGCAGACATCAAAAAAAAATTCTGTAAAGGGTCAGATAGTAAATTTTTAGGCTTTGTATGTCACACGGTCTCTGTGCAACAACCCAGCTCAGCGATAGCAGTTCAGCAACAATAGACAATATGTAAATAATAGGTGTGGCTATGTTTCAATGCAATGTAATTTGTGAAAATAGGTAGTGGGATAGATAAAACTCGAGATACAGCTTGCTTTACTCCTGTATTATGGAGTTTATAATGTATGTAGTAGAATGTCTGACAAACACAGCACAAAAGATGAGAGAGAAATCAGAACTATGGGGGGGGGTGTCTTCAAAAAGTTTGTAGAAAATATATATTAAAAAATTATGCATAGATTGAATTTTTTTGCACCAAAAGAAGCTTGTACTTTAATTTCTTTTTAATATACTTTTTAAAGTTCCCTTACACATTGTTTTAAGGGTCTTACACTATATGTGAAGTAATATTACTTTAATGTAGACCATCATAAGTTAAAGATGCATTTTATAAACCCTATGGCAACCACACACACACACACACCCATGCAACACACACACAACACATACACTCACAACTGAAGAAGAATGGTTTCTAAGCCAATAGGAGAGAAAAAATTAAATATGAAAAAACCCTTCATTTCAAAAGAAGATAATAAAATAGGAAAAAAGAAAACAGTGAGACTAGTTGAAAAAAATTACTAAATGATAGCTCAACCACATCTACAGTTATTTTAA